GTATTTTTACAGTCTTTATTTTACAGTTAAAATAAATGTTTATCAAATAAAGTCTAATGTTACAACTATTCATGGATCCCTTTAAAATGATACTTTCTTTGTGTCTTGACAAAAAACAGGCTTGTTTAGGGGCTGCCTTCAGGCTCAGACCACCCTTGAAAAAGGGCTCTAATAAAAGGGGTTTTAATAAAATTTTGTTCGGTTATCCAAGTAAGAACAGGCAAACACACATCAACCACTAAATATGTCTCACAACACAATCTGTAGGAGATGACTCAACACTTTCCACCAGACCGTCAGGCATCCTCTGACAGCACCGATTCAAAAGATACGTCTTCTGCTTCCACAGAGGCACGAATCAAGGTGGTAAAAGCTTCCCTCCTGTGCTTTTTGTTAGAAAACATCAATTTGAAATGATCCTACGTCTCATTAGTGACTCACTTCCTTATTTTCTCACCAGAGAGATTTTCAGACACTGAGAACTAATGATCCAGTTGATCCGCTTGTGTCTAAATCCAATTGTTTTCAGACAAATTAAAATAACATTACATTAATAATGCGGTAATTGCGGCACGATTAAYCCGGCAATAATATAAACCATTGTTTGCCTGCCTAAATGGGTGCATTAACACCTAATTGGCTTAGGCTTACAAGTAGAGTGCTTACGGGTGCAGACAGCAACAGCCGGACAGCAGGCTAATAATGACCGACGGGGGAGGAGAGCAGCTTGGCATTTAAAGAGAAGCAGCTGGAAAAACGCAGCAGTGACAGAGCATTCTTTAAAAAGGGCAAACAGAGGCGCCYTCACCTGTCCCTCCAGCATGTCCCTCTGCAGGCCTGAGCGGTCCTGCTCGGTGCTGTTGGTCCTGCGGATGGACAGGCTGTGGGACTTCCTCTTCTGCTTTGCCTGGCGAGCGGCGGCGCTGCTCCCGCTTTCCGGCATGATGCCTGCGCCCGACCTTGATTCCACCGGTCTGAAAGCAGAGGTCAAAAGAAATTAAATTWAAAAAAAAGAGTCAGTGAAAGGTGCAAGTTTTTCATTCAGCAAACAAACTCACTGAACAATTTAGGGTGTCCACAAGGCAATGGTTGTATTTGGCAGCTTTGCCAGTGTGAATGTGTGAAAATGACAAAATGAATGAGTGTGAAAAACAGTGCTGCTGAGCGTATTTGCCAGACAAATCCTCAGCGGGTACCATAAGGTAAAGCAGAGATTATGAAGCTGACACTGTATTTTAGGGGGGGAAGCAAATATATCATAAAACTAAACATTCATTACTCTGAAACTTTGCTCTGATGTATTTTTCAAGCAAATCAAACACGTTCCCATCCATCAAATTGAATAAAAATGCTTATTAACCTGTCATTTCCATGTAATTAGTCAATAACTGGGTGTTAAAAGTGGTACATTATTGTGCTTATGTTGTCTAAATGCTATGTTTCCTAATTCAATTCAAGAATCAAAAACCTTCATATAGACATTTCATATCATTATTGTATTAATAAGCTAGTGAATGCATAAAATATCCGCTCTGGTTTGGMTTTCTACAGCAAATAACATGTTAATAATAATAATATATCAGCCTCAGGATGACTAACCTAAAGCTGGCTCCAGCTGTCATTGATTCTACAGTTGTTATATTTGCCCTTGAGCTGAAGAAAGGTGTCCGGCTCTTTAACACAAAATAAAAACATGTGATTTAACTCCTAACCCGCCTGAAGATGCCTGTTTTCACCCGGTTTTTCCTCAGAACCAGCAGAATAATACACCTTTGTCTGGCTGTCAGTTGGTACTCCGTTCTTTGTGACTCACAAGACGTGAGGTCAAACACAATAAACCATTGATGGTGACATTTTCTTACCGTGCATACAAAAAAAGTGACGCTCAAAGCGAACAAATTCCTTTCGTCTTGTCACATCCCAATGCCCAGCACAAGCTACATGAAGCTAACATCACCCGCTAGCTGCGGATGCTAATAGGCTAACAGGGAGGGGGAAAAAATGAACCTGTCAAAAAACACGGCGTCAAACTTACCAGAAAAGTCTGTTAATGGTGAGTTTTATCCCGAGATGTTGTGGCAAACGTTGGTCGCATTTTTCCTTTATTCGCAAGCAATGATACAGAGCGGGTTTTGTTCAAAATCCGTGCCGACACAAGACGGGAACCGTTATTACGGTCCGTGGGAAACGATAACGAAGCCAATTCCGGTGTTGTGCCGAAAAATGCACCCCTATCCTRTGAAGAGCATCTGGGTTCTACAGAAAGGAAAAACTATAATTAAACTAACTTTTATAAATCTGTTAGGAGTAAAACTGACTTTTTTATTTGATTTGTTTAGTTGTGCAGGGAGATTTTAACTGATGTTTGAGGTCAACAGAAAGATAAAAAGCACTTTCGACATAAAAAAAATATTAGTAAAATTATTTTTCTCCTTCTCTTTAGGGTTACCGAAATACAAACGATTGTCCATCGCGTTAGAAATTCAATGTATTTGTCGAAAAGGATACAAAAAAGAATTCAGCGTGAAGAAGGTGCACCTTATGGGAGGGGTACGTTTTTCTGCACACCACCAACAAAACGTTTTTCACAATAACAGCCCTTTTTAACTTCACTTATTTTAAAACATACAACATAAATATGTCTACTTATTCTTAAATAACAAAATTAAGATTTTAAATTGGGCGAAGCATGCATGTTGAATAGCTTTGACAGCTTATTTAGATTAGATGACAGGAAACATTATTTACAAAGACAAAAAAATATTAATATTCATGGCAAACAAATCCCAAAGAGGAAAACAGTAACGTTACTGTTGTCAGAAGACTGTAAAGAGTTAAAAATATCAATAATGACCCAAACTCAGTTTCTCAAGATAAAAGCAACTCACACAAATATAATTAAACTAATAGGGTGTTTCATTCATGTGTATTTTTATTTATCTTTCTTGTTACTCAGTATTTAATAGGAGATTTTCACATCACTTTATCCAAAATAGGTGTAGGATTTTCTGACACTCAAAAGTCTTCTTAGCACAAGGTAAACGATCTGAAATCAGTTGTAAGGTTAATAAAATAACCAATTAAAGAACTGGTTGCTGAGTCTTTGCTTCTGCATGCTTTAGGATGGCCCATAATATCTACTGTTATTGTTTTATCTGCGATCTTTGGGTCCGGACTTCCTCTTTCCAGTCAGGAGGTGTTTGGGTTTGAGGTCGAACACYTGTCGGTCCGACTCTCCTCTCCTGGCGTTGCGGTTCATCTCTTTCTGGGAATTCTTCATCATCTTCTTCGTCTTCCTCATCATCTGATAAACCAAAATTAAAWACACAAGAGAGGACACGATACGTGTTTTAGTTTCATTACCATACGGGGAATTTTCTGTCTACTTCTTGCCAATAAACACAAACCTCATTTTAATAAATATAAAAGATCTAAACTTTATCTTCAGTACAAAGAAAGTAAAGACATCCCACCTTTGCATCTCGTAAACCAGACTGGTCTCGAGGTGGACGGGACGCGCTCTGGCTGCGAGTTTTGGACGTGGGCGGAGCCGAAGCCTCTCGTTTCCGTTTCCTGGTGATGCTGCGGGAACGCCGCGCCTGCTGAGCGTAGTGGCTCTGAAACGACATGCGTGTCCCGTTACAACAAGTTTAAACCACATCATTAAACTCTTACTGTGCTTCTTTACTCCTTATGATCACACCATGAAAAAACAAATKAACTTAAAGTAAAATAAAGGTAAACAAACTTCAGTTATAAAATAAACAAACATCAGTTGTTGGTCAGAAATTGTTAAATTATCTGCATATTTTTGGCATCTATAGTTCAAACAGGCATCATCTTTCAAAAAAAAAATCTAACAAGTAAAAACAATAAAAATATGTTTTGGTTTAATGATAATAGAATAGATGGTTAACACTTTAAAACTCTTTCACTTTAGATTTTCATCAGCAGTGCAACGGTATATTTTAAAACTTTCTGAGTCCCAAAACTCCTCATTATTGATCTGCTACGGCTGTAATAAGTAATAAATGTATATTACAACAAAAAAGAGTCARAACTCATGATTTAAACTGTAATTTGAACCTGTTATCACATGTTCTGATATAAAAAATAAATAAAAACTTACATCATCTTTGTCGTTCATGTCCAGACCGAGGTTACTCATCTCCTTCTCCAGACGCTTTTTCTCCACCTGAGCAGAAGCAGAGTTAAAACATGAGAAGAGTAAAAATAAAATAAATAAAACCAGGTAAATTTTCAGCTGTTTCTGCACTTTGTTTTGAAAGCTGAAAGCCCTCACCTTGGCGGCGGTTCTGGGCATGCGAGGCCCGTGAATATCCTTCTCTTTGGACTCCAGGACCTTCAGCAGCTTCTTCTCTTTGATCTGTTTGGCGAGGGCGCGGATGTCCTTCATCTCTTCATCCTCGCTCTCCTCGTCCGTGTCGTACTCCCCGGCTCGCTCCTTTAGCTCCTCCTCCTTCTCCAGGTCCTCCAGTTTCTGCCTCGGAAGAGAAGCGGGACAATTTATTAAAACAAGACAGTTTTTAGTTGTTCGTACTTTTTTTTTTAAAAAGTGTCCACTGAAAGTTCCCAACCTCGAACATATCAGTCTTAATAAATAATAATAAAACAATAAAAACGGTTATTTTTTAATTTTTAAATTAAAAAAAAACCTCACCCTCATAATTTCAGGGTCGATGTAATCAGCGATGTTGTGGCCCTCCCACACCTCAGGAATCTTATCCTGCTTCTCATCGTCATTCATCAGATCCCAGTATTCTTAAAAATAAACAACAGCCTCTCAGAATTAACAGAAAAACATTCTCAGGAATTGAGCGGTGCCTTTCTAAATTTATATGGCATGGAAAGAAATCTAGGCTGAAGACGAGGGTTCTGCAGCTGCCTACTGATTTAGGGGGTCAGACACTTCCTAACCTCCTGCTCCTCTATTATTATTGGACTTTTCTTGCACGAATAATCTCAGAATGGCTCCATTCATTTTTACATCATGATGACCCGTCTATAGATCCTTGGTGCTCTGACCCACTTTCTCTTATTAGTCTTTTATCTACTGATTTAACTTCCATTAGAGGTCAGAAATAACTATATTTTGATGTGTGCACTCAAGGTCTGGTACAATATGGCTGTCCTCTTTGGAAGAAAGGGCTTTTCTAGTGCCCTGCAGCCACTTATTAGGCATTAGCATATTTGATGATTGATGATCTAAAAATTTAAGATTTATTGGTGATTTATTTGAACATGATACTTTTATGTCTTTTAAACAATTGCAAACCAAGTACAGTTTACAACAAAAAAAATTTTTTGATTCCTGCAAGCGAGACATTTTGTAAATTCTCTTAAATTCCCACCAACCTGTTCTGAATCCTATTGAAAGCTTTTTTTCTCAAAGTTAATGAAAATGTGTTCCCTAAAAGAAATTCATTTCTCTTTTCTGTAAAAAATGTTTTCTTTAAACTTTGTCACGACTGATAAGGCCAGGGTTCAGTGGGAAACAGATTTGAAGGTTGAGGTTAGTACAGAAGCGTGGTCAAAAACCTTTAGATCTGCTAAGAAACCGTTCACTTGCAACAGGTCCTGGGAAAGCCAATACAAAATTTTGCACAGATTGTAACGTACCCCAGAAAATTTAAATAAAATTTATTCACAGATCTCCTCTCTCTGTATGAAATATAATAAAGATGTGGGCACCTATTACCATTATATCTGGCGATGCCCCTTAATTACTAGATTTTGGAAAAACGTTGCTCTAGAGTTTAGAGCTTCGCTCGATCTTTCATAAGTCAGTTCCACTAAACCCTGTGCTGTTTGTTCTCAGTCTTTTGTAGAAGTAATTTCTCGATCTTCAGGACAAATGACTTTATTAGGCAAACTCTTACATTTAGCGAGGTGATGTATCTTGTTTCAATGGATCAAGGAACAACCCCCTTCTGTTACACAGTGGTACAGGGAGACATTCAAGGGATTTCCGCTGGAGCGCCTTAGTGCCATAAAGGCTAACTGCGATGTTTTCTACAGGATCTGGCAACCCTTATTAGATCACCTGCCTAGCGAGCTTGCTGAAATGTTAAAGGGGGGGGGGGGATCACATTTTGTTTTCAAATATAATTAATGACTTTTTTCTTTCGTGCTCTTTTTTTTTTCAATCTTTGACTTAAATTGTGGAATACGTGTTTTGACCCAGCTTTGTTCATCTATAACTTATATATTTGATTGTGAGCGATTGTACTGGACTTGGCTGTGCTGGTTTGTTGTTATTTGTCTTCTTTCTAAAAAGACAATAAATTATTTTTAAAAAAAAAAACAACAACAAATAAGAATTTCCTCTCTACACGGGCAGTTTTATCACCAGAATAAAAGCCTTTCTTACTCTGCAGGTCCAGAATATAATCATCACCAAGCTCCATCTCCAGGTCTCTCTCCTACAAGGATTGAAGATGAAAAGTTTTAATAATTAAAACAAACAAATACTAAAACAAAAAGCTTTTTGCTGACGCACCAGTTTGCGTTTGGGTGAATCCACCTCCATCGCTCTTCTGCGATTCAGAGCCCCCTCTGGGATGAACGGGGGTCTCTCCTGGAAACGGATCAGAAACATTTAGAACCTGCAGCAGTGAAAACAGAGCCCAGAAACATGAAGTTAAGCGAACCTTCTGATCCCTCTTAGCAGGAACAGCCAGGTGCAGCCTGTTCAGAACGTCGTGGACCTTCTTGCCTTTGATCTTGTTGTTGACCCGGTGGGCCAGGAGCTGGTCGCAGGCCTGAGAAACACCGGAGCGTTAAAACACGACACAACATCCACAAGGAGCCCAAACCCGTCGGACCTCACCTCAGTTTTAACCTGCATGACCCCCTCCTCTGTCAGGGTGCTCGTCTCGATCACAGAGACCCCCTCAGCTGAGAGGTCTGCAAAGATTTTCTGAGAAACACAGGCAGCAGGGGGAAGAGAGGGGGTTAGAGGAGCTGGATTCAGGAGATTTAAACCAAACTTCTTCATGTCTGTGCTGTGAATCACCTGGTTCTCCTCCGAGAGCTCGCCGATCTTCTTCACGTCACATTTATTCGCCACGACGAGGAGCGGCTGCAGGAGAGACACACCAGGGTCAGGTGGTCAAAAAACCATGGTGGCACCGTTTGTCCAAGAACTCCTGCTACGTTCACACTGCAGGTCTTAATGCTCAGTTCTGATTTTAAAAAGAAATCCTATCTTTTTGTGTGAACGTTCACATTACATTTTAAACATGACCTGCATCAGACTCCAGTGTGAACGCTCCACAGCACTGATGTGATGCATGCGCAGTAAAATACTTCTCATTCAGCTTGTTTGTTTACAGAGTTAGCATGGATGCTACTTTTTGCACATCAAATCTGAAGTTGTTTGATCAGAACCGATTAAATAATTATGTGACGCTTGTTTAGTTGTGTTTATATCTGAACCTGCCTCTGATCAGATGCTTCGGCGAAGATTTTTATTTTTTGAACGAAACAACGAGCTGGAAATAAAATATCGACTGAGCAACTTTAGGATCGATACGCTCCGACCCAGGCTGGACGTTACTATCTACACATGATGGAAAATCAAAAGTAAAAAGACGAAGCAACTGGACTTGTGTTTTGGAGCTGTAAACACACGGAGCTACTATACGTACTATGTGGTCACTAACAATGGTAGGAGTGATCTGAACACTCTGGAATCCTGAGGAGGGTGAAATCTTTGTGGTTGATTATCACCAGCCACAAAATCACGTCGCTTTGTCGACAGTTTTATTTRGCTGGGTGTTTTTACATTATTTTTTTAATAGCTTTTCTCTGCCACACGAGCAGCACAGATTTGTAACCAACTCCAACGCAAACCTGCTCCATGACTGTTAAAACAAWTTTTAATAGAAACATACTGCAGAAACAATCTAGACCGTATACCAGATGTTTACATTTCTATGCTGTAGACTATCCCCCTTCCCACATTCACGCCCACAAATTTGGTGATTTGATCACATGATCTGCAGGTCGCTTCGTCATCTGAAAACCATCTATTAGATGAAAACTGAACCTGGACTGAGCTGCACTTTTATCTTGTGAAAGACCCTCAGCTACTACCACAGCAAATTTAACTTAAATATGAGCAAAACTGACTGAATTTTAACCATTTTTGTGTTTTTAAAGTGAGTTTCTTGAATTAAGTTGGATCCAAATGTTTTTGATGATTATTTCCTTAGATTCAATAAAACACGAGATATTTTGCTAGCAGACAAAGATATCTTCAAAAAGGTATTTAGAGGCAGGCAGTATATAACCAAATATCTGAGATACAAAAATCTCTTCCATGTTTCCTAAAAGTTGGTTAAATATTTATTTTCTCCAGCAGCTGTAGGATTTCCAGCCCCCACTCAGGTTTTAGTTGTGATGTTTTGAAACTAAAGCAAACTGCAAGGCAGGCGGCGGCACCTTGTTGGCGAACAGCGGGCGGATGTTGTTGAAGAGCTCCAGCTGCTCCTGCAGGGTGTGGCCGCACTGCTCCGACAGGTCCATGACGTAAAGGATGGCCGAGCGCAGGTGGGCCAGAGCCGTGATGGCCTGCATCTCGATGGTGTTCCTCTCCTCCAGGGGGTGGTCCAGGATACCGGGGGTGTCCACCACCTGCATGTGCCGACACATAACATGATCGTCAAAAAAATAAAATAAACCCAAAACAAATACAAGTTAAAGCGCCTGTGGCGTAAAGTTTTTGTCAAAAATATGAATGCATTTTTAGAAATATAACAATAATAAATTGTTTTAAAAAATCCACACTGCTTGAGATGAACAGTTGTTGAGATATTTGCATGAACAGAAACAGGAAGTGATGTCATAGGTGACTGTCTGCATGTAAACAGAACTTTGCTACGACTAACACAGACTGTGGAGAAGAATCTGATATTTCTTAGATGATGTTGAGTCACTATCAGAGATGATAATAATGTTCAAATTAGGGCTGTCAAATGATTAATTTTAATATATGATTAATATTTTTATCTAATTAATTAGCTGTGAATTAATCACGATTAATCTTAAATTTAATATACATTCCAATTGCATACTGATAAAATACATTACTTGAGTTATTAATGAGTTTTTAATGTTTTTATTTAGAAAACAAAATTGGTGCTTAGACATTACTTTTTGAATATAAAACAGGACCTAAAAAATGCTCCAAACATATTTGAGTCAGTTAAATTTTGTGCAGAATAATGAGGTTAAATCAAGAATTCATGGATTTTCATTCCAAATGAGTTCTACATGAGGAATGAAAGATAGATACTAAGGTCACAGTTGTCAGCAAAACATAACTAAATAAAAGAAAATAAGCCATAAGATGACAAAAAGAAAAAAACTGTACGTAATGTGTTACACATGGAGTTTTTTTTAAATTTTATCTTATTTTATTTAACCTTTATTTATCCAGGTAAACTGTTAGAGAACCACTTCTCATTTACAAACACCTGGCATGCACTGAGTGCATTGCAACATACAAACCTACATATTCAGCCAGAGTGAAGTGATTGTAAATTTTAATCTCTGCCCATGCAGCACTAAAATTAATCAGAGTTAACTCGATTAACTTCACAGCCCTAGTTCAAATAATATTTTACTAAAAAAAAGACCAGGAAGTTTTATTTCACAAAGAGTTCCCCTRTGATGTCACTTCCTGTTTCACTTTGGATGAGAGGAGTTCAAAAGAAAATCTGCTGGTTATGTGAAAAGGTGGATAAAATCATGTTTACTATGTCAAGTTTCATTAATATAAAGATGTTTTCTTTGACTTTATTGTATTTGAAGGATGTCACAGGCACTTTAAAATGTTTAAAAACGCATAACTCTGCTCCAAACTGTACCCAATTTTATAAAACGGAACAATAATTCAAGCAAAAGAGAACCCAGTTAGATGTTTTAAGGTACTAAAACTTTCTTTTGAACAGAAAAAAATACACAATAGTGAGATCATCGGCATGTTACCTGCCAGCGGAGGTATCTGTAGTCCATGTGACCCACGAACAGAGACTTTGTGGTGAAGGCGTACGGCTGAACATCAACATCTGCTCTGGTCACCTGACGAGGATTWTTTTCACCACATTAGCTTTGCTGTTTCTGTATTTAATAAGAAGTAAAGATCCAGAACGTTCTGTTGTTTACCTTGTTGATGAAACTGGACTTGCCCACGTTGGGGTACCCACACAGGAGCAGAGTCCTCGTGTTGGGGTCGATGCTCGGCAGACGGGACAGATGCTGACGGACTGAAGAGCAGAGAGACACGTTATTGCAACACATTAAAAACAAATCATCATTCATGAAGCTCTTCAGACCCGTCACCTTGTTCCAGATACTCCAGACTCGATTTCTGACGCTTCAGGATGGTGCACATTCGACCCAGAGCGGCTCTCTTCAGCTGTTTACATCGATACAGCGAGTCTCCGTATTTCATCAGACGGACGTAGTCCTTAGCAACACTGCAGGGTTTAAATATAAAACATGATTTATTCAAGTTTTAGAATCTCACCGTGCAGTTCATATAATCTGAAGAAACTTCAGTAAAATTTCCTTCACTTGAGTTGATGAAAACATAGATGGCTGCTTTGTAGGAGTTTTAAAAATGATTTGAACAGAACAACAGWGTCGCTCCGAGCAGACTTTCTCTCTACGGATCTACTAAAATAAAAGTTTCCTTCGTTCTTCTTAACGGTCCAAACTTACTTGTCAATCAGATTCCTGGCGATGTTTATCTGCCCTAAAGCCAACTTGTAGTGGTCTTTGTCATACAACACGTTCATCAGATCAGCGTAAAAAGGGTGGATGTCCTGGAGACACATAAAAACTAAAGAATATCACAAACCGATCCCAGACATCAGCCTGAAATCACCACGGGTGAAAAACTTACGTCGAGTTTTGGGAAGTCGGTGATGATCTGTGTGAGCCGGTCGTGGTAGTTCTGCTGGGTGAACTTCACCTTTCTCATGTAAAAGTGTCGGATGCGGTGGATCTGGTAATGTTTGTGGACCACTGTGGGGGTTTTCCTCTGGGTTTTGGATAAAGTGATGTCAATGAACTCCTGCAGGAATGGAGACGATGATGGGATCAGTCGTTTAAAGATCACAAACAGTTTCTTAATAGTTTGCTTCTATTTTTAGACACTTTGCTGTCATTTCTGACAATCAAAACAACAACAACACACAACATGCAAACACATCTTAAAAACAATTTTTTTGTTTATTTGGTAATCAAAAGTGTAACAAAGCAACTTTTGGTTGTTTAAGATGGGAAGTTATTGTTTAACACCAGTTATTTAATATAATTATAGACTATTTCACATTAAATATTATTATGTAACATATTATCATGGTAATGTTATGATTAAATGTCCAAATTGTCTGCCATCGGCAATAAAACTGTAAATCACAGGAAAAACGAAAAGTCCTCACTATTCGCTTTAAAATAACGAATTTCTACATTTAAGAATAAAATCTGCTCTGTTCTGATTTTCACTCGTGTCCTGAGATCAGCTGCCTGAAAAACACGTGTTTTCTGTCAATTAATTAACGCACTTTTATTTTTGTATTCTTCCTGGTTTATCCGGCAGCGACAGCAGCGTCGCTAAGTTTCTTTAAAAATGTAAAATGAACCTTACCTTGGCGGTGGGAACCACCATAATCTTTTTAAAGTTATAATGTGCCATTTTGTCGGGACACGTTTGGGTCCTCCGACAGCACGAAGAAAGGAAACGGAAATGAATTCCGTAGAAGAAGAAAATGAACTGTTAGAAAAAGAGAGGGGTTTTTTATTAGCGCCCCCTGGTGCTCAGAAATGCGCACAGCACAAAATTTACAATTAAAAGGCTAAATAAATATACAAAAATATGGATTTTTATGTATTTAAATTATATTTTAATTTTATTTTATTTATCTTGCTTTTACTTAAAATATTAAAAATATACATCTAAAACAATTTGGAAAATAAGGGAGAATGAAACAGCAAAAATGACCTCTAAAAACACAAACTTGAATGATTTAGTCAGATCAGACTGAACTTGTAATTCAATTTAGAGTTCTTATAGCTGACACTGAGCTCTACTAGATAAAACATATTTTTTTAAAATAAGTTTTCAGTTGACTATTTGAAGTAAACACTGTCTTTTTGTCAGCAAAGTATATTGTGAACTACTGTTTGGGTTTCAATGAAATTTTCAAGAAATGTTTTTTGGATTTATTTATACAACAGATTACCTTTTGGAGTTAATTGAAGATGGTGTCAACACTCATATCATCTTAGAAAACAAAAACTTTGTGACAACTCAATCAATTTTATAAATACTGTGCAAAATGTTGTACGAAAAATTTGTTGTGGTTGAATCATTCACAACGTACACTAACAAAGTGTAAGATTTATGTTTTAAATATGTAGTGTTATGTGTTGGAGTCAACAATGTTTATTATTAGCAACATTTCTTATAAACCACTGAATAGATTTTAATCTTATCAAAAATGCTTTTCAGTTATTTCTGTGTTTTTGTTTTTGTTTTCTAATCTGTTTTATTCAGGGTGAATACTTTATTTTAAAAACCATATAATGGGACAAAAACAACAGCATGTTTGTTTTGACCCGCGCTAACCGCGGAACAACCAATCAGAAAGCACTGATGTTTCTAGACCACACCCACTCCCCTTGATCACGAGTGTGGTTCGCGTGCGCCCACTGTCGGTCTGGACCAATCAGGACGGCATGCTGCGAGAACGACGACGGAGGGGTGGAGGGTCGAGCCCCCCTGACAGCTGCACCGAAGAAGTGAAAAATATACAGAGGTCTCACTCTGTCATCTCAATCTTTCGATGAAGCCAAATGATCTCAACTGAATCCAGTGAGAGAACAAGTCTCTGTCAGATACCTCCGTCATTTGATTATTTGAACACTAAATATAGGAAATATCTACATCTACTAATACATTTTGTCCTTGCAGACGTGTAGCTAAAAAAACAAACAAACAAAAAAATCTGCAAAAAGTGCATCTTAATTTTTGGGATTAAACGTAACTGATGAAATAGGCATCTGTATAATTGGTTTTTATTATGTTTTGCATGTTTTACCATCGTATTACTGCAGACTTCTCAAAATTCTTAGAAAAATATTGTTCCATTTAAAATATGCTACTTTTAGCCAGCCCATTGTTTACATTTAGCTTATGGCTAGCTTTATGATACTTTTAAATAGCATTTTTCTTCTTTAGCTTTTTGCTAATATTATTTGTTTGTTTAAATTAGCTTTTTTCTCTTTTAAAATGTATTTCTTTTGTTCTGCTAATAAGAATACTAACGTCAAAGTGTCATTTGAATTAACGACTTGTTATATCATTAGAAACCTAAAAAGAATGAGTTTTTGTAGCTTTGGTCGTAAAGTGGCACTTTAATGTTTACTAACGAGTGATCCATCTTCGGTATTGTAAACGATCTTCGTGCTGCACACGAAAGGGAAAGGAAACGCCGACTTCTCCATTCCAAAATCCCCTCTGCCTCATCTTTAGCAGCAACGAGTGTTTGGATCGATCGGGAGCTTTGAGACGTTCGGTTTTTCCGTTCCAGGGCCTTTTGGTCGGTTTTCGGCTCCCTCTTCGCGGAGAACCCCTTGTTGTCCGTGAGAAAATTGTTTTCCCTGAGCTCTCAGGCGCCAGATTTATCGAGCCCGAGTGCACAAAGTTGATAAGCTAGCCTCCGAGCTAACTCTTAGCTTGCAGCCCTTTTTTTTTGGTTTCAGCTTTTTGAGGGCGTCGTTTTCGCATCACGGCTGGCTCTTACTACTGCCCGTCCTATCTGAATMCTTCTTTTGGTGAAGTTTAAGGGGTTTGCTGGTAGCTGCTGTGCTCACTGATAACCCCCTGCGTACTTAGCCCGGAAGCCGAGTGAAGGCCCGAGTCCAGCAGCACCAACAGCCGCCTTCGTCCGAGTGTTTATCCGCCTTGAAGTGAGAGTTGACAGGTGAGTAATAAACACGTTTTAGCTATTTGTAAACGCGTCAAAAACCTATGTGTGTACACTTTGTCACGCTGTTGCCGTGGCGTGGAAACAATATTAGCCTCGTTTTGAAACGGTCGGGGGGGTTGGGGAAACCGCGGAATCACGCCGCAGGTGTTGTACCGGAAAAAGCAACCCRGCCGTGAAAAGCTGGCCAGCCGTCGCGCTTTTCATGGCTATTTTATTTTTTTACAAATAAGACGAAGTTACAGCTTTAAAAGTTACGACTTAGCTCTTGTTTTTACTCTTATAAGAACGGTTATTATCCGTTATGTCAGTTTGATGTGTTTAGGCCTGAATGGAGGCTGTTCTAGGATGAAGCGCACCCCCCCAACCCGGAAAATACGTCGCTCCTGAGTTAAATGTTTACGTTTGTGTTGTTTTGGGATTAACTTTAGGTAACACTCTGGAGTTGTGTTAACAATATGCTAACGATTTGATACGTCCATGAGCAGCAAACACTGATAACCGGTGCGTTGACGTGCGTGATCTTTAACCCAGAAACGATTTTCAGCGTCATTTACCATGGTAACAAGCTCAGAAACGCTTAAAACCCCCAAACTGAGCCTGAAGCTGTTTAGCTAAGATGCTAATCCTGCTTCATGGCGCGTGGTCCTGAACGAGGCAGCACCTGTCTCCAGATGTGCTGATCCCACCTGCAGAGGGTTTGTTGTTGTTGTTGTTGTTGTTGTTGTTGTTGTTTATTTTGGAGCTGCACTGAGTCATGACAGTTGTGCACATACTCGGAAAATTACACCACAGGACGGTGTACAGGAAATATATTTCCTATAAACATGACTGAAATTTAAGTTTGTTGGCTTTACTTTTAAATGTCCGCAAAAACAAACTATATTAAAGCTTTTTTGCGGCGTAACTCACTTTTTGGTATAGTTCACGTGTCTGAGTATTGTACACTTTGGTTAATTTTTTATATTCTGTAGCTGCAACTCCTCCCTGATGAGAAATATTAAGTGGTGTAAAGTGCCTGTTTAAACACATAACATCATAAGATCCATTTAAATATGTCTGTAGAGCTCCTAATAACAAAATCAGTTTTGATTAAACTACCTAAAACCACATTTGTGACCCATCACATCAAAACGAGGATCAAGTCTACAAGTGGTGTATGGTAAAGGTAAATATAGTGTTTTATTAAAACATTTGCAAAAATTGCATTTTGTCAAAACATAATGAATAAATGCCTTAATATCAATGAACCTTTTGAATGAACTCTGAAATATAATCAGACACAAATTTGAAGCATTTTTTGAGCAGTAGCAGCAACAAAAAACACATTTTGAGGAAAAGTGGTTTAAAGTTTTGAGATGTTCCCTGTGAGTTAGCAAAGTTTTGTTTCTTTTGAGCTGGAAAATCTCAATATTCAAATATAATTTGAGGTTTCTTCCTTATTAGGACATCAAAAAATCCTCATTAAAATTACATAAAATTATGATTCAGACCAAATATTTATGTATTATTGAAACCATCAAGACAAATTAAATCATATATATGGATTTACATATGATATCAGGATGATCCAGGTATCAAAATATAGCATTTAAAGCCAGGAATCTGAAAATGTAATTAGGTCATTTTGACCAAATTTGACTTAATCCTCATTTCGATATGATGGGTCACATTTAATTATTTACCCTATGCTTTAGCAGGCAGTCTGTTTTAGTTTTAACCCAAACTAATCTGTGTTTTTTTTTTTCAAATTAAATGATTCCCATCAAAACAAAGGTTATTTAAAAAAGTTATGTTATGCTTACAAACTTGTGTTCCCCACTTTGTGCCACTGTAAAGACTTCAATGCCAGTTTGTCTACAGTCGTCAAAATTAATAAATTAATTTCATGCACAAGGATTTTCTGAGAATGCTTGCTTTTGGATTTAAAATGATTTGAAAACGCTGCACATCACACAACGTGCCATTTATATTCTTTTGTGTTGTTTTTGTTTATCACCACAAAACATTCTGACTCTCTGAGCCACACTAGTTGATAACGATCCCTCCTCTTCGTCAGCCTGATTTAGTTGTTTTACAGCAGCTGAGARGTCTCCTGTCGCTTCAGATGAAGCTTGTGTGAAATGTAAAGCAACAAATAACTACTTGTGCTTTTTATCATAACATTMAGATAAAAAATACTTGTTTTCTGGGAGTTTTCTTGATTCAGAAAACATCCAGGGTTTCAGATTGTGACCATCCTCTGTCAAGCAGCAATCCACTCTAAAAATAAACTCACTGGATCACTGCTGCATTTTTTTATATTTTATTTGGAGAATCATTGAGTCATAAATCACATCCTGTGAGTACGCTGAAGGAAAACAAATGTGTGGAAAAAGGCAGCGGGGGGATGTTTTGGTTCAGACCTCGTCTAGACGTTAAAGTTGACTCGATGCTCTTCGTGTTTTGACCAGGGTCAGGGTTTCTCTGCGTGTATTACAGCAGAGATATAATGTTTTATTTTAAGTTATATTGTGTTGTCAGGCAGAAAAGGTCTTAATTCGGTCTAAAATCRCTTCAGCTTTTCGCGGTTTTGGGTTTAGGTTAAAGTAATTAAAAATTAAACTAAAGGCTTTCAGACAGGACGATGCAGAACTCAATGTCTGGTTCTACAACGGTTCTCGTGCTGCACAGGTCATAGACTTGTGTAATAAATTCATGCTTTTATTTATTTTGGTCATTTATTAGCAGCCACTGGAATTGCCACCTACGTCAGAGCTTATGTTGACATGTTGAGACTTTGTGCTGCCATCTTGGTAGGTGCTATGTGGAAAACTATACTCAGCTGAGAAGCCAATAATTAAATTATTAAAACCTAAGTTTAAAGAATTTTTTACCTTTATATTTTTTTAGTTTAATGTATTGTTTCTAATAGCTGCAGTGGTTGTTCCTTAGATTGACTGCTGTAAATAGAATATTGAAGGTTGGCACAAACCCGAGGTGTTCAGTCCTGGTCCTTGAGGGCCACCGTCCTGCATGGTTTAGTTTTCTCTGCTTCGACACGCCTGATTTGAATGAATGATTAAAACTTCTGCATAACGAAGAGGTAATCAGGTGTGTTGGAGCAGGCGTTCATGTCAAGTTGAATGGATTGTCTGTAAATTACAAAGATWTTCCRCCATTTTGCATGAATACAGACGTATTGGGGGGCAATCTTTAGGATATTTCAAAAACTGCTTTAAATTAATTTAAGTCTCAGAGCCTGTAAGGAAGGCTGTAAGGAAATAGGTTCATTACCTCCTCATCCTCCTTTCCTTCCTCCTCAGTGCTTCAGATGCTGTTATCTTCACCCAACGTTGTTTCTTTCCCACAGCTGACAGGACAGTCTTATTATGGATTTTTTAGTAAAAACATACAAATTTCAGGTAAACGTCAGGAGTTGACATGGATGAGCAGGTAAACAAGTACAACATCATGCATGTCAGGACTTTTGACATGTAAACATGACGATACAAGTAGCATTTAGCATTGCTGTGGCTACAAATCTTGACTTCCCTTTTGGTGTTGTGTGAATTTATATGAACTGATTTGCATAAAATGCACTTAAACYACAAAATCATTATGCTGCTTTAAAATGTCTACAACAAAAGAGAAAATGGATTTGGCTTGTCAAAGATAAGTGTTGGAGTTTTTTCTTTGCGTGCATTCAGTACCAGTCAGAGCTCGGACATGTAATTTATTTTTCCATTGTTGCAGCCTGAACACTATTTAAAACTAACAAAATCCACATTCCAGGTGGAAAAAAACAGGTTCATTGACTCTGTTGAGAAAAGTGTTATTACTCAGCTGTTGTGATAAGTGAGTGGAGCTGAGGGAAACTCGTGTTGTGCTGAAGTCTTCTCCGTAGAATGACACAGTTCCACACTGGCTGTGTATCATCATTATGTGGCTCAAAGGTCACCAGCTTTACAGCCACGCCATTCTTTTTCTGCTTTGTATTCAAACACAAGCCCAGTCCGCGTCGCAGACAGGCACCGATTGTTGGCGTGGATTATCATCGCTGTAGAAACGACTTCAGCAGGACCGAATGAAGGTGTTTGAACCCTGATGTTCTGCTGGTAGTGATCAACAAACTGCTGGTGCCCTGTGGCTTTAAGAGAGGGCTCTAAAATAAAGATCCAAATGAGCAGAAAAATGTTACAATAAACTTTATATTATCTTATTCAAGATAAGGAAATTTGTGATAAATAGATTTATAGGAGATAATTAAATTTTAATACGGAAAACAAACGTGTAAAACGTTACTATAATAATGTAAAAATGTTTGTTTTGAAAACATTAATTCTCTGTCAGTCACTGCATCTAACAGCATCTCATTATTAAAGTGTTCATTTCATTCATGCATCAATAATTTCTATGTAAATATTAGAGGTGCAACGATACAGAAAATTCACGGTTCGGTTCGATACTTTAGTCTCACGATTTGATATTTTTTCGATACAAAAAAGAGAAATGTCCATGCCTTTTTTAACTTGTAATTTATTTAAATTAATTATGAACGTTTGTTTAACCTCAAAAGTACTG